TAAGAATATTCAAAGCAGCTGCAGCGGAGTGTTCAACCTTGAGCATCAACAAGTCTCTGAGAACAATTTATTTTAAGACTTTTGTACACAACTTTACCAGAGGTGGCAATACACTTTTAATTATATTGATTGTTTTATTGTTGCATCTTTAACCAAAGGTCCAAATTTGGATATGAATTGTAAATTAGCTTGCGCTAAAAATGTGGAAATGTTTGGTGTCTGTTGGCAACAAACACTAGTTCCTATAAATAAAAAATATCATAAAAACTTGTGGCTTCTTGCCACATGCTTGCTCAGGATGAGGGGCTGTTGAGCAGTCGCTGACTTAATTGTCTGGACTTTCTCATCTTTTTACCAATTGAAAACATAAGATGAATTTGACTATGCTATAATTAGGATGGAGCAGTAAGTGGGCCATTGAATTTGTCTTTTATAGTATGACTAATTGGATAAGGTCTAACTTAGAGCTGTCTAGTAATTGCCTTGAGATCAAATCTGTTGTGAAATAGTGGCTGTATCAGTAAACTTAACGGAATTGAATGAACTGTTTGCTGTATACCATAGAAATGTTTACCTTTTCTTCTAATGTACCCCCCTTTTATTTCTTCATTTCTATTCTTTCAAATTGTAATTATTAGATTATTAGAAGTTTTTTTCATGTGCATGTTTTTTTCATGTCAGTTCACACTTTATGATGCCGGTTTATTTCTTTAAGACAGTTTCTTGTACTATTTGACCTAAATAGTTTGTTCTTAGTTGAAACGACTAAAGACATCCGGGATAAAGACTCACCGTTCAAAATAAAAGCCAAGCGCCTCAGCGGAATAACCTGTCAAGACTAAGTAAACCTTAAACCTTTAATTCTTGGGGATAATATGCAGTATATATTGATATGTAAATGTCATCTTAGATATTAATCCAGATATTTGCAAAATTTTGAGATCAGCATTTTACAGTGAAAGGTAGTAAACGGAAGTAGAAAAAGTTACGTAATCTGGGTGATTTGACCGTTTGTTCCCAGGGTGACAGCCCGGCCGCTGATACCGGTAGTTGAACAGCAGTAACAGGTAAGCATGCCGGTTCTTATAAAGGGACGACCACCGTTGTAGTCTGTAGATGACTTAATAAACCGGTACCAGTCCGTCCAGCTGTTGTCGTAAACGGACCATTAGCTTACCGTGTCATTATGTGGGTCTTCGGTTACGGCTCCCTGATTTGGAAAGTGGACTTCCCGTACGAGGAGAAGAGAGTCGGTTACATAAAGGGCTTCAGCCGCCGGTTCTGGCAGGGAAGCACCGATCACCGTGGAGTACCGGGAAAGGTGGGTGCTCTCTGACAGTCTTTGACGATGTTTCATGTGAAAACAAAAAGCAGCTAAAGTTTGAGGGAGTTCACATTTTGCTAAAGTTAGCTCCTCTAAAGGGCTAATCAACCTTTTCTAAGTAATGTGTGCCACCTTTCAACAGCTCAATGAGCTTTCCACCTTAACAAGATGTGTTTCTCTGTAACTTGGAAAATTTATAATTATTGATGGAACAGAAAAATAGCAGTTCCTGTCAAAGATTTGTCATTTCTACATTTTACATAAGCAGCTTCTTTATCTTTACCTGATGCTGACTAACGCTAGATCATGATGACTTGCTTCTTTTATCACACTCTCACCGTCATTGTCTAAACGTCCAGCTGCCTTATGAAGACTCTGCACTCATTTTGAGTCATTTAAATTTGCACTACAAACACCATGCAAACGAAAATCAATATTTAGTTGAACTGAACCCTAAATAGCATTTAAGAGAATGTCTAAGTGAAAATAGTTATGAAAATAAAGAGAGACAAGGAATAGTACATTATGTAATTAATTGCACGTTGACTCTATGATACAACCTTCTTGATAAGATTATGTTCGGCTCAAAACAAATATGAGGAATCTGGGTTTCAAATTCTTTGAATGGAGTTGGTTGAATTTCACTGTAAAAGTAAATTCTTAAAACTTAACCTAAAAATAAAAAAAATTGAGGTTATTTATATTTTATTTGTTTCCCTACTTCTTGTTTGACAGTTAAGTTATTGCAAACAGAAACACATTGTAGTAAAAAGTGAACTTCAGGAAAAAATCTAATAAAGTTATTATGTTTACTCAATAGTAATATGTTGGGTTTGTTTAGGGGTTACTCATTTTTTTAGTGGGGTTCTCTTATAATTAGTTAATAATCATACCTGCAGACCACATGAGTAGATTACTGGCACATATATTAATATTGCTTTATTCTCTAATTAATGATTGGATGTATGACATCCCAATTCTTCTGATTCTCTCATTGTGTTCTCTTTCTAGCCCGGCCGTGTTGTTACTCTGATAGAGGATCCTGAGGTGAGTGTGATAACCAGTTCTACATGTTTGAGACAATGTCTCACATTGTCAGGTTATTATTGGAATGAGTTTGTCAATTGTCAGCTGTTTTCTACCAGCTCAGGTTAAACACGCCTGTTTCTCTTCTGTCTCATTTCTTCTTCAGGGGTGCGTTTGGGGCGTGGCCTACAAGCTGCCGACGGGGCAGGAGCAGGAAGTCAAACGCTACCTCGACTATCGCGAAAAAGGCGGCTACCAGGTCATCACGGTGACCTTCTACCCCCGTCCCGAGTCCAACCACTCACCGAGCCCGACGTTGCTCTACATCGGCAATGACGACAACCCCAACTACCTCGGACCCGCGCCCTTGGAGGACATAGCCAACCAGATCCTGAACTCCACCGGTCCGAGTGGGAGAAACACAGAGTACCTGTTCCAGCTGGCTGAGGCAGTCAGGACTATCATGCCCGAAGACCCAGACAGACACCTGTTTTCCCTTGAAGCAATAGTGCGGGAACGGCTACAAAAGCGCCAACAAACACTGGCCATAGAATGTCAAGAGTAAATAAAACTTGCTGTAGCAGGTATTTATTGAGAAGACCACTTTTCTCAAACATTGATGGGGCTGAGATGTAGGAAATGAAATCAGGTTTTGTTTTTGAAACAAATGTTCATCTCAATAGGATTGTACTATTACTGAAAACAAATTTTACAAGTAATAATGGGTTTTGCTGCATGTTTACAAGACATTACCAACTCATGACTCACAATATATGTTCTTAATAAAAGCAAAGAAAGTAAGAATTGGCTTTAATGATTGTGTCTTTAATGTTAAGTATTGCTGATTGTTGTTATTTGATCCCTTTCTATGTAAAGTGTTATAAAATTGGAAGTTAAACTCTTCAAAATGAACCATTTCCATTATAGGTGATTTTGTATTTGGTGCAAAATCAAATCCCTCCTGTTGGATTTGTGCGTTACTGTAAGCTCTAATCAGCACGGCTGCATATCCTGATGGGTGAACACTGTTAATATTTACAAAGTAAACTTCAGCATGTGAAGATTGCTGTGTTAACATGCTAATGTTAGTGCTCAGCTCAAAGCACCGCTGTGACAAATTGCAGGCTTTCAGAGCAGGAGGGCGAGGCTGGTCTTTCACTCCCAGACAGACTTCAGTCAGCCTTGTTTTTATGCACTCAATCACACGCGTTTACAAATACACTTCCGTTCTAATAATGGTGCATATTATTTGGTATTTTAGCCGTAAATCCGTTCTTGTTATCTCCATATTAATTTCCCTACATTCCATTTCATTACAGAGCTGATTTGCTGTGGCGATTCAATGTGCTGGATCAAAGGAGAGTGGAAAAACGTTTGCTTAATTTCTAAAAATGTTCGTTAGACATAATAAAAAACAAAATGGCTAAAACTCGAAAGCCACATGCAGTCATGATCAGACGTTCCCACACACTTATCTTCTGCTTCAAATTTTGGGCCGCTTAACGATTAATGGGAACTTATAATAATGTAGAACCAGACTGCAGAGACTAGAAATACGATGTGGGTACACAAATTGAAATTTATTGCGGATTCTAATAATAGCTGTTCAATAAATGTAATCGTAATGTAAATATTAGCGAAATGGTAATTGTCAAAATGATAAATGCTCAAAAATACACAGACTCCACCACTAACATCTGGTTGTATGGATTAGAACAAGCCACAGCCAAACTACATTAAATACTTTTGTCTGAATCTTTGACCACTCTTGTTATGATTTCTGGTAGAGAAATACATTTTTAGTTGAAGTCTTGGCATTCCAAAAGCTTAACGTTGATTTGTTTCGGCCCAGTTGTTTCTTTCATTTGGGCCTCCAGCTGTTTGATTTTAAGGACTGAATTTCAGTGCATTTATCATGTACTCACACTCGCCTCTCCTCACTATCTTCATCTACCAGAGCGCCGCCATCAGCCTCTACTATTCCTGCCACCGTATCTCAAAGACACATCAAACCCGCCAGCGATACGTCAGAAAGAAATCAATACTCAGAACAAGCGACTGACAGCTCTATATGCGATCCTCTTTTCCTCTTTAGACACACACACAGACAGCTGGAACCAGTTATCAGTGTTTATTGGATGCAGCGATGTCTGTATGTACAAAGTTACATTTTTCTTTTGGCACAAAACTAAAAGCTAACCATGCAGGAAAAAGAAAAGCGTCTTTGAGCACCTTGCAGAATATGATGTACAGCTACTGATAACACAACAGTGTGCTGTTTTTACAATATATATATATATATTTATTAGTAATAATGTGAGCCTATTGGTATCAGTATATCAGTATAATATAAAATCATATATGTGATATGTGAACAGATCAGGTCACCTGTTTGTTTTTCCACCGTATTTGGACACAATATTTATTATCAACTTAAAAACATACTAAAAATGTCTAGAAAAACAATTACTAAAACAAAAATACTCTTTAAAATGTTCTGAAAAATCCTAAATTCTGGGGAGGAATAAATTAGGAAACCTTCATAAGGAAAAATATAGTCTCATTAGAATCAGATTTTGTTTTAGACATTGAATTAATGTCAAGTGTTATATATATATATCGTGTATATGATTTTTTTTTTATTCATTTACTTTAAATTCACCAGGAAAAAAAAATCACTTTCAAAAACCCGCCTGCAAATGTGGTGGCCTTTTGATAACGCAAACCAAAACCATAAGCACTACATAGAGTGAAAAGCTTTTAGCCAATCAAATTACGCTCTTTTGATCACGTGACACCAATGAGTCTGGTGTGGCGTCTCTGGCCGTTAGCTACGCTGAACAAGCTAACTGTCGGACAAGCGATAGGAGAAGCCTAATTTGATAGGCCGCTGGACTCACGGTGACCAGAAAGTCCACATTTGCAGGCGAGTTTTTCAGGTGAATTTAACGTAAAATATATATACCAAAAATTCAGTGTCTAGGGTTAAAATTTTAGAAGACAATATTTATTCTTTACCCTCATATGTATTCGCACTAGAAATACCTCAAAAACCCACACATGAAATCAGTTGCGCATGACGATGATTAATTACTTAATACTTTAAAGGAGGTGTATCAAGTTAATGTGTACTGATTGTTTAAGTTAGACTGAACTTGACCAAAAAAAAAAAAACCCTCACAAAGGCCAGTTTTCCAGAGAGACAAAAGCCCAGACTTTGAAGTCTAAAACTGAATTATTTTGAACACGTTTGGCAAACTAACTGAGAAGCATCGAAGTGGTAGTGTCATGGTTTAGGAGTGCTGCTGCAGCAAGACCTTCCCATTTTCACCATCACAGACTCCATAATGAAAGCTATCATCTATGAGAAGGGACTTGAAGAAAACTTGAGCCCAAAACATACCAGTATTGTTATCGAGTTATTTCATTCAAAGAAGGCAACACCAACTACCAGGGGTTGGGTGTCCTAACTTTTTCCTTAGCTAAGCGGCACTTTTTATCTTTTTAGGAAGGTTCATTTTTATTTCTCAGTTAATTGCAGTTAAATCACTTTATTTTCCTGAAATAAATACAAAAGTAGACATCAATATGTTAACTTTTTCTTAATAATTAACCAAATATTTCACAGGATGTCCCAGTTTTGTCACATGACTGTATTTAAATAGAAAATTTTACCCTAAAGATTGTATTCAGAAACTTCCTTCAAAGTGACGGTGGTGCAATAAAGAGGAAGAAGAAGATTTGGAGTCTCTATGTTGATCAGAGCTGCAGGAGACTGAAAACACACTTTTATCATCGCCATGGCCGCCTCAGCGTGCAAAACAAACCCCACTGAGCAGCGTGCTAACTGAAAACCTCTCTGTCCCCAGCTGCTTTCCGGCAAAAGGCCAGCAGCGGCACGTGAGAGTCCAGACAGAGATCTCCTCCCTGGAACGACGAGTCTTTATCATCGCAGACAGAAGCCCCCAGCTGTACTTAAGGGCGGGATTATTTTTCCGTGGAAGGGGGCGGTAGGCGAACGTCTAGGCGTAGTAACAGGGCGACACCAGCAGGTTGGTGAGCACCAGAAGCTGGTCGTCGGTGAAGCATTGCCGATGCTCCTGCCAGTTGTCGTGGTGAGTGCGCCTGAACTCTGACAGTGTCTTCTTCACCGTCATCTTTAAAGCAAAAGGATAGAAACATTATGAATTCCTGCAACCTGCCAGCAGTTAGAGGGCAACATAACCCGAGACTAGTGATGAAATATGACGGTTCTGCGTCCATTTTTGACAATCCAACATCCTTGGATTTGATATGAGGACTGGACTGGATCTGCTTGTTGTGAACTCAATGTTAACGTGTAAAAGTGGCTTAAAAATCTCATGGAAAATCCTGGAACATGGAAAATGTGAGAAAAAAAAAAAAAAAGCAGCAAACTAATTTTTCACAAATATTTAGACATAATATCGATCAAGGCAGAAGAGAGGGATTTTGAAATAATTTAAAAGTATTAGTGCAAAGACAAAAGGCAGATATAAACTATGATGGATTTGTTTTGGGTTGATTTACATTAATCTTTAAAAGTCAGTTCAATTTATTTCTTGACTAATCAGTGTTTTCTTGGCTACTACTGTTTAATCACAGAGTACAGAACAGCTGTAGTAATGTTTTTGTTTTATGTTTCCCCAAGAAACTGAATGGTAGACTGTTCTTCCCTTTCAGTGATTTTCTTTATTATCTTGAGTCAGAAGTAAACCATATTTGTGGCACAAAACCCCACAGATGACCCTAAAAGTTTCCTCACTAAGCCACTAATCCTGCTTTTTACTACAGGCTCTTTGGTCTGCAGCTGAGCAAATTTAGCTCCTTTTACTGCAGACCTGTTGCTGCTGCTCCTGCAGTGGATGCAGGATGTAGCTTGATATTGCTGTCCTGAAATAAACAAGACCTTTACTGAAAAATGTCAGCATATGTTGCTTCCGAGCCTGCATAAATCATCCGCTATTAATGGTGTTTGTACAGAGCTGCAAGCTGGATGATTCTTGTAATTTCAAACTGGTTTCAACCTAAATGCATTCATCCTCTTTTTGGAAAACTTTTATGTTTCCCTTTTTTTAATGAAAACAACAATGGTGGATCTTTTAAAAATGACATTTCCAACTGTAGATGTGTACAAAAACTATAAATAAAGGTGATGTAGCATTTAAATGAGGAGACAACTGTTTGTAGCTTTAACACAGACGCACAACAAAATGTGAAAAAGCGCAAAGCGTGTGAATAATTTTGTAAACACATCAAATGTTCTGGGAAGGTAAAAATATAAAATCTTAGATGTTCAATGCAGCTTTCCATTCGACTCTGTGGTAAAATCCTCCAATAAAGTGCAATATTGATAGCAGCTGTTTTACAAGCACATTTCTGCACCTTGTAAACAGCTCTAATTATTTTTAAAATAAAACCCACACTTAGGCCTAATTCTGGAGTTAAGCAAACATAAAACGGCCATCAAATCGATGTAAAAATTTATCTTCAGAGTGCAAAAATGAAGGTGAGCTGAAGCGATTTAAAATATGCAGAGCAGCGATCGTCCTGCTTGTTTACGCTGATAAAAATCTAATGAGGCAACAATCATTTATTTATGTTAAAATGCCATATATAATTTTAAAAAATGCAGGGCAGCAATTATTTAGAGCACAACAAGATCTGAGTGAAAAGTCATCTGATTCAACAAGAGCTCAAAACATGGCATTAAGCCGTGGATCAGTGAAACTCAGAGATGTTCTCATCATTTAAACATGGAGCACGTTTGTTTTACACTATTGCCCTCAGAGCTCTTAAGAAAAGGAGGAACCCAAACTCAAAGATTTATTTATTTATTACTGTGCTTTTTAAAACCAGTGTGAAGATGCATTTTAAACCAATATGTTAGAGGATTTTACTCAGAAAATCTTATCATATGTCCCACTTTTCGCTATCGTTTCAATAAGAGGTAGAATAATTACTGCTAGAGGACAGAAACAGCCTTAAAAAGCTGCAACTGGAGTAGAGTAGTAGACTAGGAAGCAAATTAAGACCGCAGCAATTTCTGTGACAAAACATCAACTGTAGACCTGAAAGAAAAAAAAAAAACTGGTGGGTAACGTTGCATGACCCCTAATGTGTGACGTTTTTACCCTTTCATTTTCTCCTCAGGCCACCCAGGCTATCATTTCCAATACTACAGTGAAAGAAAGAGTGATTGTTTTCATTTCTGGTGCTCACAGCTCAGGCACCGAGCCTGACGGGGAAAATCCACAGAGAAATCTCTACACTTTATGTCAATCTATGATTATTTTGTGTATTGATTGTGTCACACTCTTAAATTAATATACTGTTTGTCTGTGATTATGAATTTGATGTTTAGAACAATTTTGAACATTTATGTAACGGTACATAATAGTTGAAGAAAATATTTAGCTTCACACTAAATATTTAGGTTGTTAACCAAAGAAAGTCTATTGCTGTCATGGATGTCAATATATTGTTACATTATGATGTAACAATATATTGTACAAACATAATATATTACATAAACTTGACATTAAGTTGTGTTTTATTGTATTTAATGTCAGTGCATTTCCATGAATGAAGTCTGGAAACGGGACATAAGATTTTAAGAGGTCAACTTTTTCCTCATTTGTTTCATAATTATGAATATTTGGAAGTCCGCATGTAATTCAAACCTCCAATGAAACAGATTTGAATTCCAGGTTATATTTGGGGGGGGGAGAGGGGTTTTAGGATGCACCTAAACCTCTGGCTCCCTTTTCAAATACGTGTAATTTTCTATGGACTTTACTCCAACTATCCTGTGTAACAGAATGGTTAGTTGTTTTACATATAAATATATACTCCCAGATGTGTTTATTGCCTATTCCTCGTCATCTCCTCCGCTTTGCGACAAAAGAAGCACTAAATTATCCTCACCAGCGCACTGTCTGCTTTGCGGATTACATTGTACGTCTGCTTCATGCTTGAAGAAAGGCCAAAGACATAATTTTCTCCTCAATTGGAGAATGAAATTGTATTCTTTCAGCTCGCACTGGCTGGAGCGCGTCGTTTGATTGCGGGCGCGCGCGTGTGCGTGCGTACCTCTATAGGCTGCGGGTCGTTGAGATGGTCGCTCAGCTCCATCAGGATCTGCGGCATCCACTGTGGGACGTCGTAGGGGCTCGACAGGATGCACGCGCTCAGACCGAGCACGCCGGCGTGGCGCCGCACCAAGTCTGCACACACACACACGCACGCACACACACAGAGTTAAAACAGGCTTCAGAATTTCAAGGCTCACAATTCCCCTGTGATAAGAAAGGGTAACAGGGCAAGTATTACTGTGATTGCCTCGCTGTGTAATTGCGTGTGTGTTTTATGTGTGTACCCATGGAGGCCAGCTCTCCTCTGGCCTTGGGGAGGGAAGTCTGACTCAGCGTCTGGAGCTGTGTCTGCAGACAGGAGTCCAGAGGGAAGAACTGGCACTGCAGTAAACCACTGAGGGTGGTGCAGGCCATGTCCCTCACCTTTAGGGAAGACGGAGAAAAATGGGAAGAGGAGCAACAAGGAATACCAGACCGTTAAAAACCCAAAGCAGTAAATTAGAGGGACAAATAAGGGGGAGCAGAGAGGAAATAAATCTGTGCGTACTGAGCAAAAGGAGAACGGTTTCAAATCACTCATCAACTCTGCTAAATATCATAAACGGTAATTGTAATTCAGAGGCAGCCATTGATTTTTCTTTTTTTTCTTTTTGTACCTGCGCTGTGACTCCAGATCAGAAATCAGTTTAGAGGTTTTACTGTAGGGCCAGTGAGACAAATAAAGAGAAACTATTTACGTTTTAGCAGACGGTGCACAGAAATTACTGAAAGATTAAAAGTTAAAGCTGAAGAAGGTGCATCTCAGTAAATTAAAGTACAAAAGCTAATTTATCCTTGTAATTTGTTTAAAAAAGTGAAGCTCCAATGTTATGCATTCACTACTCACACAAGCATATATTTTAAGCATTTATTTTTGTTTGTTTCGATTATTATTGCTAAGAGCTCCGCCGAAATTTTGGATGTTAGAGTCCCAAATATGTTTATGAAAAGCTAAGTGGCACAAACAGGTTTGTGGATCAAACCTTATTCAAGAGTTTGAAGTTTCACATGATGGATTTCAGTAGTTTTAATTTCTACATTGTAAATCAGTTTTTGTTGGTATTTTGTAATAATGTAGTTTTCAAAGAATTAGAGTCTGGGGTTTGAATTAAATGTAGGAATATTGATAAGTTTATAATTGTGTCCACTTTGAAACTTTTTGTATGATTATGATGAAGTTGAAACCACTTGGAGGGCAACAAAAATGTATTTATTTTAAATAAAAAATGTTAAATCAAATTCATTGCACTTTTTTTTACTGTATCGACTCAATATTAAATTAAACTTGCAAGACTTTACTGAAATGAACAAAATTAGCAAATCAAAAACAAAAAGAAAGAAAAAAGTGATCTATAATAAATGATTGTCTCTCCAAAGCATAAAAATGGTTTTGCATTATTATAAGATGGACACACAATGTTTTTTTGGGTTTATTTCTTTTGTTTTTTGGCCTTTTTAGTCCAAGCTCAACAGCAAGAACAGGAAGTCGATTTTTCTTCCAAATTTCTTGCTGCAGCACCCGCTTTTGAATAAAAATTGCTGGTTGTCTGCAGTTCTCTTTACTACAAAAGTAAGTTGAATTCAGAAATCTGGTTAATGAATTAGCAATTATTTTTATTGTACCGCTTTTTCTGTAAAAAAAAAAAAAATGCATCAACCGGCTAGATTTGCTCCATTGCAGAATTGCACATAAAATCATCAAAAGGACCGCAAATCGCCCTCAGTCCGCACTTTGGACTCTCTTCTTTAGACATAACACAAAAGTCCAAAAGCATGCAAAGCAGCTCCATTAACTTATCTGTAGCCACAGTGAGAAGTGATGTTATTTTTAAGCAACAATCATGAACAGACAGGAATGAGAATGAGCAAAGGGATAAGTGGCCTCTTATAATCCTCTGTCAGTTAGGCTTTATGAGAAATGGCAGCATCCAACCTGCGCTTCCTGTCCAGCTTTTTATTTTTTTTTATTTTTTTAAGCATATTACCTCAAGCTGTTCATCCAGGAGCAGCTGCATCACCAGCTTTCGGATGCGCAGAACCTCAGCGGGCAAACTGAGCAGAGTGAACAGATTGTAGAAGACTGTGATCTGGAGGTAGGTCAGTACTGAGAAGCGAGCGTGCCACGATCTGCTGGCCGCCATCTGAACACAGAGGAGGACACAGAAAAGGAACGACTCGGTCACAGTGAAAAGGATGTGATGGGAACCCATCGTCATTTTATCTCTGGATCACTTTAATTTTTCTTACCCAAGAGATATTGCCGAATGAAGTTGTATTCTTTATATGCACGTTAGCGTTAAAAGACCAAATACTGCCGCCGGAGATCTCAATTTGTTCACAGTTTAGCTTAGTATAAAGGAGCATTTGTAATATCCGGATGCAATTTAAAACGGCGTTCTTTATCGAGTTTAAAAATTAGACAAACCCAACTTCGGATTAACATCAACTTACATATTACACCTTGTCAGTGTTTGACAAACAGAGACAGCGGTTGGTCATAAAACGTGTTGATTAGCTGACCATCAGGAATATGAGCTCCTTTATAAAAATATTGTTCCGGAGTGATTGTGTTGGCTATTGCCAAGGCGGGATGACATCTGAAGCAAATATCTATCAGGGTTCGGGGATCACTGCCAAACATTTATGAGCTCATTATTCAACCGTGAGAGAGATTATCCACAGGTGGAACACATTCAAAAGAGATGCATAATCCTCACTGCAGGTTCGTCTGAATGCTGCGATGCAGGCTCAGCGGCCGCGGTATCTGTTGATATTCATGAAAGCCAATTGAAAAACAGTTTGCATCTTTGAATTTTGGACACACGGAAAGAAAAGTAAAACCAAATCCTGAAAGAGAACATGAGATTACAGTTTTGCAGTGTTCTACTCAAAGTTCAGAACGTGATTTAATTTTAATGCTGGAACAGGATGATGAGAGCGCTGCACACTTTTGGAGTGGGCGATATGGACTTAGAGTTTTCATGGAACAGTGGAGAAAATGGCAAAAATGCAATTTCTGATCATACTTTCAGCTTTATTTTTTTTTTATATACTTCCCTTCAGTAACGGAAATAAATCAAAATTATGCTAAGAATGTTTTCATGATAAACAATATGATAAATGCTCACCCATACCCTGGCTTTTTAATAACCTTTTCTCTGATTTGCTTGAAGAGTTCTCGCATCTTCAGTCAATAGATGATCCAAACACAATACGATTGATCACTTGAGACGGATGATTTCTATTCCACTCACTGTGCCTGGTAGCACCAATTGGCTGGATCTCTGTTGAATTAAGTCACTTTAAAAGGAAGGATATTTGTGAAATCACTTAATTTGTGTGAAATAGTTTTAGTTATTTTAGCAGGAAGTTTTCAATTTGACATTAAAGAGTTTTTTTTTTGTCAAAAAAAGACCAATTTTGTTGATCATGTTTGATTTGATAAAAGGTTGTGAATATTTTTCATAGGCACTGCATTTGGGACAATAAAGGGAGCAAAATATTCATTCATTTTACACATATAGGCACAAGCTTCAAGGTTCTGGCTGTGACTTTATGTGAATGAACAACACGGAGTAGCACATAATTGTGAAGCAGAAGGAAAATAAAGACTTCAAATATTCGTAAATTGAAATCAGAAGTGTTAATTCTTTATAAAGCCACTTTTTGTTTCAATTACATTTGCACATATTTCGGTCTGTATCTGGAGCTGCTAAAGAGAGAAAACGTTGCCCCGTTCTCTGTAAAACACCAAGTTCAGTCAGATTTGATGAAGAGCAGCCCTGAACTTTTAGAAACCTTTTAAAGTAAAAATACCTTTACTTTTTCTACAATGACTCCAGGTTGTTCTTTCTCTAACCCGGCATCTTGGGCAGCATTAGGATTGAAACACTGACAGCAGGTCCATAGGGCAGCATGCGTTATGAGCATCCCGCTTTGTGTGCGTACCTCCTCCAGTGCTGCCAAAACCAGAGGGATGTGCTCCGGATAGAGCAGGCCCTGGGACATGAGAGAGAGACACGTGCGCGCATCCTGCTTCATCTCATCATAGCTCTCATCAATCTCTACTGGGGCAATCTGCGGGGGGAGACAAACACAAGAGTGAGACAGAGAGGCAGGAAGACACACAGCAACGCGCCATTTTCAGTAAATGAAGAGAGAAATTGTGTTTAATGGGCAAGTAAGATTGAGTGGGTAATAATGCTGTGCTGGGACCTGTGAGTTAGCCTGTGTGAGCGCGCGCGCGTGTGCGTGTTGTTACCTTGAAGAGCACAGGCAGGAGCTGTAGCTGCTGCTGAACAGGAGTGGTGAAGGTTCGCCCTGCGCTCGCCATCAACCACTTCAACACTGCAGAACACAAACGTGCGTATAAAGTCATTGATATGCCCACAAACAAACACACAGAGGAGATTTCACTGGTAAATGACGACATGCAAACTCTGAGCTGTGGTCTTGCTGCATTAATCTGTCGGTAAAAAAAAAAAACGGTTCATCTCATTTAGTAAGTAATGACTTGTACAAGCAGATATTTTGTTTGTGCAATGGCGAGTAAAGAACTTGAAAGATTAGCATTTCCGTGAAATTAGCATGGGAAATTAAACCTTGGTAGATTTGTTTAAGTTGTCAATATAATCTAAAAAAAAAAAACCTGAGATAAACGAGAAATGGCCATTCAGTCGTTAAAAACCACAAAATATTTTCCCTTGTTGTGCTGATGGCCACACTCTTTGGTGTGGAAGTTACTGCTGACGAAAGAAGTCTAAGTTGATCGTTTATAACATCACTGAGTTTTCAAATAAAGATGTTTACATGTGTTTAAAGTCAGAGGAAGCACAAAAGCAGCCAGACGGTTGTAGAAAACAGATATGTTTTTCAAGGCTGCTGCAACAGGAAGTTCATTGTTTGCATATAATTAGAAGCTAAACATTGAAGAGTCTATTCTGTCACAAACCATGCTGAGTTAGGAAACGTTACGGTAAAACACAAAATATTACCAAGTATTTGTGTTCTAGTTTTTAGTACAATTTAGACAAAACTAACTCAGAACTAACTTTTCAGCAAGAAATATGAGCTTACTTTAATAGATAAGTCTTAGATTATTAGACTTATGAGAAAAATGTCTTGTTATAAGTGACATAATCTGCCTTTGAGTACTTTTTTATTAAAATTAAAGAATTACTGACTTAAAACAAGCTCATATATCTAAATAAAAAGTCACTTCAAAGTTAGTTTTGGCTTATTTCAAATGTACTAAGGCAACTGCACTAGAAACTATAGAAAGTGGTGTAACCTGTTAACTACACTTCGTGCACAGGCCCAGGTAAGATCAAATACTTTTGATTTTACTCAGTCGAAAGCAGCACAAGGCTCTCCAGACTAAAATTAAAACTATTCGCAGCTCAAATCAATAACAAAACAAAATCCTGCAGCAATTACTGAACTGTACGACCTGTAAAATTATATCTTAAAGGTAACCTCCAAACAAATGAATCGGTGTCCTTCCCCTAAATTGTTTTTCAAATGCTTCAACACACACCCTTGGAATATGCCGTCGATCAATACCTCACTACCTTTTCAAAAATGAATTTAAAAAGGTGAATCAATGAGAAGCTTTTAACTTGTGTCATTCAGTCTGTTCCTCCGTTTCAACAAGAGAACAAGCTGTCACGGCACGTTTAGATATTTCCCCCCGCCCCCTCCGAAGGCCGCGTCTCGTTCCCCGCATTCGCATTCTGACCCGTTTTGAGCAGCTTGACAGCCTGGGTGCGCTCGTCCGTCTCCTGGGTGTTCTCCTCGTGGACGTGGTTATGGATCTCGGGCTCCGACGTGAGGGGCTTGAGCCGCTCCAGGACCCGAGTGACGAATTCTGCCACGTGGGGGGAAGAGGTGGGCCTGGTGTGGGGCAGCGCCACGTCTATCATGAAGATATAGGTCAGCACACTGGAGAGAGGGTGGGAAGGCAGAGGAAGAGGTAATGTAGGGGGAGAGAAAACAAAGTGGGCGGCTGAGACGAATCTGAGCTTTAAGATGGACGATTGAAGGAGATTATGGGTGCGTTCACACCAGCGCTGTTTAGTCCACTTTAATCGAAATCTAGTTTGTTTGCTGAGAAAGTCGAACTCTGATGTGGAACAAAAAAGCAAACTGAGCCGCCTAAAATGACCCCAGACCACACTTTGGACATCCCTGGTATCATGTGAACGCCAAGCGAACCGAGGACAGCTCCAAAAGCAGGGCATTCTGGGTAAATATAACCAAAGCAAACATGCAAGTCCAGCACTAGCAGGAGAAATGGCTCGTGGTCTTTTACCAGACAAAAGTGAAATCTGACGAGCGCTAAAATGTGATGCTACTCCGTTTTCATTTACATTTTCCAAAATAGTCAGTTGCGCTCATGTCTTCCTTCAGAGGTCTTTGTGTCGTTTCCTTCAGTGGTTCCTGATGCAGCGCCACCACAGGTGAGGGGTAAAGACGGTTTTCAAAAGTGTTTCACACAGTTCAGTGTGAAAAACGAACCACATCAGATGAACATGTAACAAATGTTGCAATTTTGCTCCCCACTCGAGTCGAGTCTACCAGACCATCAGGCGTGAAAACACCCTAATATAAACCTGAGGATCTAATCGAGTAATTACCTCCCTATCCGCTCCCTGACGTTTTTATACACCTGGGTGAGTTTGGGCTCCAGGTAAGCCAGCAGGCGGTGCAGCAGCTCCGAAACCCTCCACTGCTGCTGGGCGAGACCTCCTTGAAGCACATACAGCAAACTGACAGAGACAGAGGAGGAAGAGGAGGGGGCTGTTTTGTTATACTGCGGCAGCATGTGTCAGCTCAGGTTACTACTGCAGCCTGAAATCTGAATCCCAGGAAATATTGTAGGTGACACAAACACACAGCGTGCGCATAGTTACTCATACCTGGCGTCCCTGAAGGAGCCGCCCTCCCCGCTCAAGGGGCTCTCCATCAGCAGCTCAAACAGCCAGTGGAGTTTCCTGGGGTCTCTGCCCTCCTGTTGGACAAACACACACACACACACACACACACACACACACACACACACACACACACACACGCACCAGTTATATTTTTATCCCGGCTGTCTCACACGGCCGAATAGTTGTCGTGCACTCGGCTGCTTTGTGTGTCAGCAGGATTATTAATGTGGAAATGTTTGCAGGCCCTTCTGATGTTTTTGGTTTTCCTACATTAATAAAATCAAACAATGTGAGATTTTCTAGAATAGATCACGAAAACATATTTATACAGATAAAATAAGATACTTTCATTTACAAGTTATCACACAAGGAAAAACAAAGTTGCATCAGAGTTAGCTGGAACGGTGTACTAAATTATAGATCTGAAGATATTATATTGTCAAGTTAATTTATTTATAATTATAAGTTAATTTAATCAGTAACAAAGTTAAGCTCCTTACACACATATTGGTATATTTGAAGCATTTATTTCTTTTAATTGAAAACATGAAATTCATTTCTTTTTAAAAATGAGAATTTTAAAAATTCTTATGACATGTATCAGCATATTAGTGGAAAATTGAGTGGCAGAAAAAAGTTTGAAATATCCTTGTGCTGTACACAATATATACACTTTTTCTCATGATCAATGGGAATTTTTCTGCTGATCATGTTTGGGTTTTCATCATCATTCACACTTTGCCACATTCAATTAATTTTCTCTGTTGCTTTAATCTTGTAGACGTCTTGCCTTTCTCATTTCCTTTCTTCGTCTTTAGTTTCTCATGTCTTGGGTTCTGTAATCTATGCATTTTGGCTTTGTTCTCTCTTTTTGCTTTGCAGAAGCTTTTGTTTCTGAGCTGAGCCAAACGGCAAATCTACGCTGCCACATTCATCTGTGGTCACAAGCTCCGGTCAGTGACCGAAAGAACAAATCATGGATACAAGCAAGAGAAAAGCAGCAGTGAGGAAAACAACTGACATCATTATATAATGTTTGGCAGTAATATTGCAACTGCATGATTTTCTAGCCTTGGTGTTAATGACTACATGCTAGAAATATGTTGAGTCAGAAGTTTATTTTCCATGAAGCTGCAGACCATTAGTATTTATTGGCCTTCATTATCGGTGGGTTTTGGTGTTTATGAACAGAAAGCCACAAATAACCAAAATGAACTTAAATAAATACTTGAAATAAATCGTTCCGTGTGTGACGAATGCTTAAATCAATTAACTTTTCAGTGACATTGTAATCTGTGTAATTTATTAAGAGAATAAACAGATTTCCCGCCGCAGAAACGTTGAGACATTTCGCCAAACGGAGAACAACTGTTATAATAATCACAAGAGCGCGGCTGCCAGAACCGCTGGAAATTAACCCGTGATTCATACCAAATCTGATCTTTTCAAACTCAGGTTGAAAATAACTACATAAAAATCAATTTCTCTGAAGTGCAGCCGAGTGACTCACGCAGGCTGTGGCGATGCATGTGCCCCAGTCTGTGTAGGTTTCCACAGTGATGTTGTTCAGCGCTGTCCTGATCAAAGGGCAAAGCAGCTGCCACAACCTGTCCACCTAACACGGACACACGGACAAAGTTTTTTTTACTGATATTGACGGGATTTTTTTTTTTTGTTTTGTTTTATTTTGCTACGGAGAGGGAATTTCTGCTGCGCACCTTGCTGAAGCTCCAGTGTTTGCTGCCTCTGATTAGTCCGGCCGTAATCTCGCACAAGCAGCGCTGGGAGCTCTCGTGGGGGTTGCTGGCGAGTTGCTCCAGATGAGGCCACAGCACTGGCAAGAACGCGTTGCCGTAGTTACGGAACAGCCCCTGCCAATCAAACATAAGCATTCGGGTTTGACTGGTAAGTAGGAAGTTTTTTTTTTTGTCAATTTTTTTTTTTTTTTTAATTAGGTGGAAAAAACAAATTACAGCAGACAAAGACAGTAATTGCAGCCTTGGTGGAGTTGGGCCTGAGGCGGCGCTTCCCCATTAAATACATGGCAAAAACACTAAATCTTACCAAGTATTTTCAGTAGTTTCTTAGTACATTTGAAAGAAATAGAAGTTTGTTTAAGTCAACATTTCCTTAATATTGATTAAAAAAAAAAAAAAAGTACGAGTTTCACTTGCAAGACATTTTTACCATGTCATAAGTGAACTAATCTGCCAGTGAAACTATTACTTTTGAATAACAAATTATTGACTTAAAAAAAATCTTGTCTTGTAAGTCAGTTTTTGTCTTATTTAATGTGTCCAAAGATATTTGCGCTTCAAACTAGACTAGGGTTGAAACCAGTAATTAATTCTAATTAATTGATTATCGAATTAACTAATTTAGTAATCAATTAATTGTAAAAAAAAAAAAAATAGACAATTTGCTGAAAAAAACTAAATACTTAAGAGGAAAAAGTAAAGCCAAAACTCTACAATATTTATATATATATATACACACATATATTTTGTATTTAGGATAAAACATCTTTGTCTGTAAAAATGTTCTGCCAAAATCTCTCCAAGTGGCTTAAGTTTTGCGTTGCGTGGTTTAAATTCGCAAAAGGCTGTTATTGTTATTTTTGGCACCTTTATTTGACAAATGTCAGGGACTCGCACCCAAAACAGCCATGCTGATGAATAAAGTGTCCATGTAAGATCCGTTTGATAACATGTT